AATGTATAATTACATATTGTTTTTGTGATTAATCACTATGCTTTAATTATGTTCAATTTGTAACAATGAAAATACATCCTGCATATCAGATATTTGCATTATGATTCATAACAGTAGCAAAATTACAGTTATGAAGTAGCAGCAAAAATAATTTTATGGTTGGGGATCACCACAACATGAGGAACTGTATGAAAGGGTCATGGTATTAGGAAGGTTGAGAACCACTGCTGTATTGGGAGAACTAGTTATAGATCTGCTGTTCTGTTGCAGAGTTCTGGATAGGCTAGATTTAAGTGACAACAACAGTAGGATCTTAGTTGGGGGTGGGGATACATCTTACAGCAGCTTTTAGAAATTTTCAGGGGAATGTCTTTATGTATAATTAATATGCAAAGGGATGATTTTCTTATATTAATTTAAAATGTTAGTATTACAGTAAAATATGTAATAAATAATAAATTTATGTAATAAATATCTGTGTAGTGCTTTTTAAGTTTTAATGTTTCTCCATGTATTATAGTAATAATGTATAATCACAAACTTTTTCTTTTTAGAATGTCATAGGATCAAATCCTGTTGCAGATTTCTCTGCTATTAAGGAGCTAGATACTCTTAACAATGAAATAGTTGACCTACAGAGGTATGTAAAGTAAAAGTACAGCCGATTTAATATGTAAATATATATGTGTGTATATTCAGGCTCTCTCACACACATACAAACCTTTCTCTTTCTAATATATGTTTGGTAAATGCTTTACCTTACCTGTAAAAATCAGTCAGTGCAATCTATTCCACTTCTCACATTCCTTTCCATTTCACTGATTCCAACTGAGGGAAATCATGCAGTCAATTCAAGCCTATTGCTAACTATTGTAATTCCTATTCCAAATTGCAAATGCAGTACTTCTTCCACCAAGCATAATCACCTTGAGATCTCACAAGTTAAAGGGTACAGCCCTTCAGATGGTTAACTCTACCCAAAACTTTAGCTGCAACCTTGGGTTCCCCATGCTGGCTGCAAATTTGGGGATTTCTCACCACCCCATTAGGATGCCAGCTGTAAGCTAAGGGATCCCTAGAGTCCTCTTAACTTCTCATCGACTGGCTCCCTTGGGTTTGATAATTTGCTAGAACAACTCATAGAACTCAAGAGAGTATTATTGGCTAAAAGCAGCCAAATAAAAAGACATATAGGGTAAGGTCTGGGAGTGTTCTCAGCACAGCTTCCAACTTCCAAAAAGAACACTACCTTGCTACATTCATTATGCCTATCACCCACCAGGAAGCTCATGGCACTCCCATATCCAGAGCCTTTATTGGGTGTTATTACATAAGGTATCGTTGATTGAACTCCTCGTCTAGACCCCTCCCCTGAGTTCAAGCTGATATCACACCATGGATCTTTCTGGCCTGACCAGCACTCATTCAGGAGATACCTTAGGTTTGGCCTCATCAGAAACAGTTCAGTTATGGCGGGGAATCTAAGATTATTCTAAAAAATCAAGGACAAGGACCAAATCTGGGGGGTAAAGTTAAATTCTCTGATCCATAGTACTATATTTCTATTTCATGGGGAATCAGTATACTTTATTTCATTAAATCTAAGGCAGTTTTAAATTTTATAATACATTATTTTCTTATATATTTGTATCACTAAAAAAAGAAGAAATCACTGCTAAATAAACAAAGGCATGCCAACAACTATAAGATATGCTATATGATTTCAGATAGTGAAAAAATATGGATCTTAGAATGAATGTAATAAAATTTTCCTCTTCTAGATATTTGACTTACATATTAGGTAAATATCATTTGTTCTATTTTATGGAAATGTAGACACCATACCAAGAATTTTCATAACTTTTTCATTTGATTGTCACAAACACTCTGTGACCTGTTGACAGATAGGTATTATCCCTATTTTGCAGGTAAGAAAGTTCATAAGATTACTTGGAGAAATTATTTCGTTCCATGACAAATAAACATGCCAATGGTTAGACCCAATGCCTGATCGCAGAACTGATTCCAAGTTGAATCTTCTTGCTTATACTATGTTTTTTATGCAAATAGCATGCATGCTGTATTTTTTTTTTT